CCACGGTGTAAATAGTAAAGAGATTACAAAAATGGATGTATTCTCAGCTGTAATAGGGATCTTCAAAATGTCTTCATATATGTAACTCCTTAATTTCTTTGATTTTTTTTCTCCCTCTGTACTTATCCAACAAATTTAAATGTTTAAGCTACCTTCATCATTAGCAAGGACAATAAACACTGTACTAACATCTACCAGGGAGAAGTTAGACATTTTATTTACACCCAAATCTTGTATAGGATTCGTGTGTCATATTCCATTTGCTAATACAACACAGCAGTTATTTTCAAGGGGAGCAGCTTTTTAATTATGGTCCCGCTGTTCTCACTCCTGAGTTGTGTGGAGATAGAAACATGTCTCATAGCCATACAATTAAGGAAAGTCATTCCAAGTCCTGTGGACTAGAAATTTTATTCCAAATAATAAATTAATTTTGCTGTAGTAAGAACAATTTGGAAACCCCAGAGAAGTTACATATTTTTCAATAACTGTGACTTAAATTAACATACAATTTGCCTTACATCAAAAAAATAGAAAGTTGGTTGCAACCTATTCCAGTTTATACTAGATCCCTAGTGAGAGTTTTGTCTCAGCACGATTAATCTTCATCTGTGAAGATGAAGAATCTGTGTTTCCCGAGTATGTATTTTTGACATTTGTTTGTGCAATATATTACTAAATTAGTTAATATTTTACTTTACAAATTCAGAAGAAAACAGATTACCTGCATTTGTGGAAAAGCTAACTATTGGTGGATACCTCCCTTTTTCCACCTTTGAGCTTTTCCTGTCCTCATAGTCAGCATGACTTCTCTTAAATTAGATTCCTTTGTATATTGTAAAGTTTAGTATATATATATATATATAGTTTTTTTTTTTTTTTTTCTTTTGCTACTTTCTGAGGCATTATGTAAAGGGTTCATATTAGATGGTCAGTCAAATATACGTTAGCAAAAAATTCAAAGCTAGAGAAAGTGTTAAGGAGGGAATGTGTGTGTTTTGGTAGGCCAGGAAGCCTTCCCCAGCAATTTAAGCAACAGATGTGAATACTTCACAAAGTGTAAAGACTTTTGTCTTAAATACTACAGTAATTTAACACCCTTTTGTGAAGACTCATTTAAGAGACTTTGAGGCTTTCTGGTTTATATATACTTTATAGTTTTATTAGTTTGAAATGTGTAAGCTTTGATTTAAACAAAGTTTACTTCAGTATGTTATGATGTAGTCAAAATATTTATTGAAAGGGAAAATAGAATATTTTAATGTTATACCTGCCATTTTTTCTTAAAGTACATTCTTTGCATCTAACTGCCAGTGCCATTGTCAAAACTTGTTTCTAAAATTGTTGTACATTTTTTTATTAAACTAAGTGCTTGATTTTAAAGTATTATGTTGCCATCAGATAGTATATAAAAATGTATAATTGCCAATTCATTGTAACTACTATTTATTTTTAAATGAAAGTATAAAGATGCTTTCTGTTTCAAGAAATTTGTTATTAAACTGTTTTCTCTTTTTTGATGTAGCATAAAAATTGTCTTCAGTTGGAATTGTAACTGCCAGTAGATGACCAGTCACAAGTGAACCACTTCTTAGTTGCCAGTCTTTGCTCATATTAAAAACAACTTACAAATGTTTAGTTTTTGTATCTAATCTCTGATAATTAAAATGTTTATAAAGTTTATTTTTACCAAAGAGATACAATTCATTATGATAAAGTATTGCAGAGTAAACTTTGTTTTATAACAAAAAAAAAAAAGAAAAACCAAACAAAAATCCTTGAAATGAAAGGAACAATAAACCAAATTTAAAGTTGAATTAACAGTATCATCAACAAATTAGACCAATGAAGACAAAATATATACTCTTGAAAAAAAAGTAGACCACACAGTGAAAAATGTTAAGAAACCATGAGCAGAACATTCAAGAAACATGGGATAGCATAAAAAGACCAAATTTAAGAGTTATTTGGATAGAGGAAGGCTTAGAGTTTAAAACCAAAGGAATGAGCAATCTCTTCAACAAAATAATATCAGAAAATTTTCCAAACATGAAGAACAAATTGGAAAACCAAATTCAAGAGGCTTACAGGACACCAAAAGTGCAAAATCACAACAGATCCACACCAAGGCACATTATAATGAAAATGCCTAGTATACAGAATAAGGAGAGAATATTAAAAGCCACAAGAGAAAGAAATCAGATTACATATAGGGGGAAACCAATTAGGTTATGTGCAGATTTTTCAACCCAGACCCTGAGAACTAGAAGATCCTGGAACAATATATATAAAGCCCTTTAAGAAAATGGATGCCAGCCAAGAATCTTGTATCCAGCAAAATTAAGCTTTAGATTTGATGATGAAGTAAAACCTTCCATGATAAACAAAAGTTAAAAAGAATTTACAGCTAGATAACCTGCACTACAGGACATCCTTAGCAAAATATTCTATGAAGAGGAAATGAAAAACAACAATGAAATTATTCTTAGTTGACTAATTAATGATATATTATAGAGCTCTGAATTGTCGAGCAAAGACTTTGATGTGTCTGACTTGTGATTTGAAGCAGGGCAGACATTCCTTATCCTTTACAACTTTGTTATAAATTCAGCTTGGCAGGTGGCACATGCCTGTAATCCCAGCAATTTGGGAGACTGAAGCAGGAGGATTATAAGTTCAAAGCCAACTTCAGCGACTTAGTGATGCTCTAAGCAACTTAGACCCTGTCTCAAAATAAAAAAATTAAAAATGGGCTGGGGATGTGACTCAGTGGTTAAACACCCCTGGGTTTAATCCCCGTACCAAAAAAAAAAAAAAATCTGTATAGCAAATAATAGGAACTAATATCTGATTTTAGTATATGTACTGTTAGTTAAAGGCTCATTCAAAAACAAAACAACAAATGATGGCTTCCAAGTTAAGATAAATGGGGTCTGGGGATGTGGCTCAAGCGGTAGTGCACTCACCTGGCATGCGTGTGGCCCGGGTTCGATCCAAGCACCACATACAAAGATGTTGTGTCCGCTGAAAACTAAAAAAAATAAATATTAAAAAATTCTCTCTCTCTTTAAAAAAAAAAATAGTCACTTCCAAGTTAAGATAAATGGATCTATTGACTTTTTTCCAAGAAAAATGCAACATTGTATTGTAAAATTTCATTTTTGCTCTTGATTAGCAAAAATGGCTTATGATGATACCAGAGTTTTATCCATTCATGCTTAGTGGACACTTTGGTTGTTGCTACTTTATTGCCTATGTTCTTGAGTATGTACTTGGAAATGATGTTTTCTAATGTTTTATACTTGCTTCTAGATATGAGAGTTGTGTTTTATAGCCTTACACGTGGTATTATCTTTTTCATTTATTTATTTTTTTGTATTGAGAATTGAGGTACTTAACAAATGAGCCACATCCCAGCCCTTTTTATATTTTGTTTAGAGATGGGGTCTCAACTGAGTTGCTAAGTGCCCAGCTAAGTTGCTGAGGCTGGCTTTGAACTTTTGATCCTCCTTCCTCAGCCTCCTGAGCCACTGGGATCACAGGCATGTGACACCGTGCCTGGCTATCTTTTTTATTTTAAACATTCATTAGGGTGCCAACCTTATTATCATTTTTAAAAATACAGTTTGTCAAAATTTAAAAACTTTTGTGCATCATAAGACATTATTGAAACAGTGAAAAGACAGCCTGCAAAATGGGAAAAAATGTTCACAGATCATGCATTTGAAAGAAATTAATTTCCAGAATATGTAAACAACTCAACAACAAAATACCAAACCTATTAAAATGTGGGCAAGTGGGGGGCTGGGGAAGTGGCTCAAGTGGTAGCGCGCTCGCCTGGCATGCGTGCGGCCCAGGTTCGATCCTCAGCACGACATACAAAGATGTTGTGTCCGCCGAAAACTAAAAAATAAATATTAAAAAAAATTCTCTCTCTCTCAAAAAAAAAAAAAAATGTGGGCAAGTGGGGTTGGGGCTGGAGCTCAGTGGTATGTGTGAGACACTGGGTTTGATTCTGAGCACCACATATAAGTACATAAAATAAAGGTCTATCAACAACAACAACAAAAATATGGGTAAGTGACTTAAATAGACACTTCTCAGAAGAAGATATTCCAATGGCCAATAAGTGCAAAAAAGATGTTTGCAACATTGTTATTAGGGAAATAACTGCAAATCAAAGCACAGTGAGATACCACTTATGTATTAGGGTGCCAGTAAGGATAATAACACCAATAAAATTGAAAATAACAACTATTGATGAAAATGTGGAGAATTGGAATGCTTGTACACTCCTGTGGAATATATGGAGAACAGTACTGATGTTTTCTCAAAAAGTCTAAAGTTACCATTTAACTCAGTAATTTCACACCTAAGTATATATTCAGAGGAATCAAAAGCAGGTACTTAAAAGATTATCATCTAACAGTGCTTACTTATTAGAAATTTAAAGTAGATTTTTCAGAGTGATAACTGATCACATCCACTACTGTTCTAAATTCTGTTGCCAGTTCCCATTAGCGTTCCTTTCACAGAGAGGTCCCCTTTAATAGTCATGTAGCGTTTTCAAAACCTGTTCCTCCATCTTTTCTCTCTTATTTATTTATTTATTTGTTTGTTTATTGGTGGTGGTGGTGGTGGTGGTGGTGGTGGTAAGGGTGTTGTTGGAGATTTAACCCAGGGCCTCATGCATTCTAACTACACTGTATCACTTCAGTTACTTGTACCCCTAGCTTCTATTTATGCATTATAAAATCTGTAAGCAGAAGTGGGACAAGGCAAGAGATGTGGAAAGATTCCCAAGGCCCATCCTATTTGCTCTTTTATACCTTTAGTGAAATCTTTATTTGTAAAGAATTATCTTTTGTAAGGAAATACGTTGATATGATGATTTATGAAATTTTTAATTCTATCTAGCTACAAACATTCATAGAAGTATATTTTGTGTTGTTACGTTATATAATAAATTTACATTTTATTTCTTTTTATTGGGACAATAGAATCAGAGTATGAGGGGAAATGGCAGAAAACAGTATCAAGATTCACCTAATCAGAAGAAAAGAACAAACGGTGTCCATAGCCAGCCACCAAAGCAGCAGAATCCCTTGATGGTAAGAATTATGGCACAAATGCTAAATATAGTTCATTCTGAGAGTGGAACAATGGGCATTGTCAATGCACATTAATGTTATTGTGTTGTTATTTTGATACATTAGTAGGATTTTTATGTAAGTAAATTAGGCACTCTTGTATTCATGCACAAAAAATTTTATTTGGTTGCTCTTAATTATAGACTTACAACATTGATTCAGTTGTACATATAATTTTTTGCTTTTTAGATGGTTATTTACATTGATTTTGGGGTTGGTGTACCAGGGATTGAACTCAGGGGCACTAACCACTGAGCAACACCCCCAGCCCTATTTTGTAATTATTTAGAGACAGGGTCTCACTGAGTTGCTTAACGCCTCGCCCTTGCAGAGTCTGGCTTTGAACTTGTGATCCCCCTGTCTCGTCTTCTCGAGCTGCTGGAATTACAGGTGTGCGCCACCATGCCCGGATACATTGATTTTCATGCCATGAAAACAAGAGTTGGACTTCTCTAGAGCAATCCTTTGGCTGTTACTCTGTCTATATTTTCATAAAGAATAATCTATTAAAATTTTTTCAATTTAAACTTTTCAGTGGATCTTTAAAAGCATAAAAACTGTATGTACTTACGGATTACCATGTGATGTATTCATACATGTATACACAAAACAAATGTTCAAATCAGGTTAAACAAATCTGTCTCTCAAACATCTGTCTGCTTTTCTTCATAGTGAAAAAAAACTCCTTCCAACTTTTATATATATATATATATATATATATATATATATATATGTTGTATTTGGACACAATATTTTATTTATTTTTTGTGGTGCTGAGGATTGAACTCAGCGCCTCGCACATGCTAGGTGAGCGCTCTACCGCTGAGCCCCAGCCCCTCCTTCCAACTTTTTGAAATACATTTTATATTATCAATATCTATGGGCTTAGTCCCGTCTAGTTGTATCCATTGATCAACTTTTTTGCATCCCTCTGTTCCCCCATTACTCTCCCCAGCCTCCAGTACCAGTCTACTCTCAACTTCTTTTTGTGAAATTAACTTTTTTTGTAATTCATTAATTTATTGAAATTAAAAATTTGGTAGAAAGTCAGTGGTTTTTTTTTTTTTCCTTCTCCAAGTTGATAGTTTAGAAAATTAAACACTAATAGCTAGTGACATTGTCATTAAACTAGGTCTAAAGACAAATAACTGAACATTTTAAGGCATTACCTTTCATTCTTAATTTGTGCTTCAGAAGGTAACTAATAATGTCCTTGCTTATTTCTTTTGTAAATCCTAATGTTAGTGTGCTTGATTTTCTTTTTGTAGTTTTACCTGTTTTTCATTTCTTTAGTAAAGTGGATGATAATAGTAATCCAAATTTTTAGCAAAAAATTTTTCCTGAATTCCTTAAGTGTAATTTGTTTGACTTGGGGTGTAATGACTCCTCCAGTAAAGATAAAGATACATTAAAGACCAGTTTACTATCAAAACTTTTTACTCTGTTAGGGCTGGGGATGTATCTCCATGGTAGAGTGCTTGCCTGCATGTACAAGGTCCTGGGTTCAACCCCTAGTACTTCAAAATACAAAAACAAACAAAAAAAGAAACAAGTCATTTGCCCTCTTATTTAACTGTAGTCTGATTAAAAAAAAAAAAAATACTGGAAAGAACAAAATAATCTTAATTGATGATCAGAATACTTCTAATAAAATTCAACATCTAACAAAAGCTAGGCGAGTATTTCTTAATGATAATATTGTACAACTCTCCTCAAAGTATAAATTTAACTCTACCAGTCAAAAATTTTTACTGGCTTTTCTTTTTGAAAATGTCACAAAGGACTCTCAAATTTGTCTGGAAAATTTGAATAGATTTAAAAGTTTTAGAAAAGAGAACAAGTATATGAACAGTTTGTAAGAGAAGAAATAAAAATGACTAATACACATATGAAAAGTGTTAAGTGTTCAAAGAGGAGTTTTACCTATATCAAAAGCCTTATCTCATTTCCTTAGAAGGGGAATTTAAAGAAGACTCACCCTTCCCTTTCTTTTCATAATAATGAAAATATGGAACAAGTAAGAGATCTAAGAAGATGATATTAAATGCTGTATTGTAGATAGATGCAGTAGACTATCATTGAATCAGTAAAATCTAAATGTGTACTTATAGAAAAAAGATTTTGTTCATAATATGACCTTTTTTTAACATTAAAAAAATTTTTGTAGTTGTAGATGGACAGTTAAATAAACAAAAACATTTAGGCTTGGGGGGGGGTGGAGAAGCTACTAAGGGCTGAGGTATAGATCAGTGGCAAAGCACATGCTGTTATATGCAAAATCCTGGGTTTAATCTCCAGTTCCAATAAAGAAAAGACCCCCCCCCAAAAAAAAAAAAAAAAAAACAGTGAGAGAATGGAAATGATAATTACATTCCTGGTTAATTCTCTCACTGAGAAATTTGGTAATATATCTCCTTATTTTTAATAAGTGCAAATAATTGGAGACTGTTTTGTATATGTGAGTGTGTTTGTGGTTTTTGTTTTGCTTTGATAGAAATGTGAAAAGAAACTGCATCCACGAAAACTTCAGGATAACTTTGAAACAGGCAAGTTGTTTTCTGTTTTTTTCAAGAATCTGTCTTGTGGAGTTTGGTTTGTTTGCCTGATTTTTTAAGGTTATATAATGAACTGATAGTTAAAACAGGAAGAATTGCATATATTCTTTAGAGAGTTCCTATATGTGGAGTTCTCTATAAACTGTCTAAAATGAATTAATTTAAATGATCAAGATGAAATTATTTGCCCTTTATACTATTTCTTTTGTGAATGTGAAGTCTCTGCTATGCCTGAGTATGTGAAAAATTACTTATGTATTAATGGGAGAATAGAAAGGGCCAAGTTATTGTAAAGGTACAGAAACCTCATTGTCACATGTACATAAAAACACTAAGTTCACAATCGAATATATTCTCCCTTTTTTGAAGGTATTGAGGATCTTTTTAAGGTGGTTCCATGGATAGAACTGTCACTTAGAAGTGCAGTGTGCTGTTTTTGAAGTGTTTGAAATTTGCTGTGCTATGCATTTATTCATCTTAATTTAAGGCTTTCTTAGAAAAGTTAAGAAATCAAAAATATTCTTTATCTTATTTTTATGTTAATGTCTATAATTTTAGCAAGATAAAAAAGCTACTATTATGGAAAGTTAAGGTTAACTATGAAGTAGGATTTATCATCACATTTTAGTTTGATGTAGTCTCCTTTATTTTTGCTTTTGGTGTCCTATCCAAAAAGTTAAGCTTTTTTTCTGTGTTTCCTTCTAGAAGTGCCACAGTTTACGGTTTTTACATTTAAGTCTTTAATCTATTTCAAGTTCATTTTTATGTATGGCATAATAGTTGTGTATGAATATATTAAACTTTGGGTTGTCTTGAGAAAGAAGTATAAAAGGATTCTTGTTTTGAGAATCCTGATATTCAGACCTCTTGCCTCAGCTTCTTAATGTCCTTTCCAGACCTGATTTCCTGGTTAGGTCCCTGCTATATTTAAAAAAGGAACAGAACCAAATAACAGCAAAACCAGATAAATTGCAGTTTTGTTATACTCTGATTTTGGGAAAAAATTTTTTTCATTCTGTATATTAAAGACTGAGGAGTAACTACTTCTTTTTTTTTTTAGTTGTAGATGGACACAATACTTTTATTTATTTATATGTGGTGCTAAGGATCGAACCCAGGGCCTCACACATGCGAGGCAAGCGCTGTACCACTGAGCCCAGCCCTAGCCCCTTGAGTAACTTATTTTCCTGTAATTGTAATCTTTACAATTTTTCCATTTTAACTGATTTTCACATTGCTTCCATTTTGAGCTCTTTGGAGAAGCTCTTGATATTTTTGCACAGAATGCAAATGAATATAATAGGTAAAATTGTGTCCATTTTAAAAACAAGGAAATGTTGAAGGATTTTGAGTATTTATGTAGAAATAATCAATAATTAGAAATTCAGTTGACGAAAAGGAAATATTTTGGTGGTTCTGCTTAGGTTAGAGTGTGGAAAGATAAACATTCTGCATGAATTTCTTTGTAACAAAGGTAAAGGGTCATGTTTTCTTACTGAGTTACTGAGATTATTTATTTTGTTTCCTAAGCAGATGCTGTATATGACCTGCCTTGTTCCAGTGAAGACCAGTTACTAGAACATGTTGAGGGACAGTCTGTGGCATGTAATGGACATTGCAAGTTCCCCTTTTCATCCAGAACTTTTTTGAGTTTCAAGTTTGACCATAATGCTATAATGAAAATCTTGGACCTTTGATAGCAACAGATGTATTATAGAAGTCCCAAGATCAGAGACCTGTTGTATTTGAGCGGGTGTCTCCTCAAGCCTTACCTTTCTCAGGTGTTTTAAAGAAATGCAGGGAGGCAGTGTTTCTGAAAGGATTTTCTGTGCAGAAGAGTAGAAAGAAGCATGAGTTTGCACTGTAAATGCAGTTATAATCTTTTAAACAGTTTTACCTTTTCAGTGTTTGAAACAAGTGTAATTTTTTTTTGGAGGGCATTTTTTTTTTTTTCTGTGTGACTGGGTCTTATTTTCTCTGGTCAAGAAAATAGTGTTTGAGAAATCAATTAGCCAAGGTAATGGGAATACTTCATCTACCCATTACAGTGATTGCAATAATCGTTTACTTGTATTGAAATTTTTAAAAAGAAACTTAAAATATCCAATTATTAAATGAACATAAAAGCTGAAATGTCTCAGATGTTGAGATTGCAAGCCATCTGTCTTGGTGGCATTTTATTTCTCTGCTTCTGACCACTGAAGCTAATTCTCCTTTGCTTAGAGTTTTGTTGAAAGGAGTTATTCAGAGCCAACATCTTTAATATAATATTCATGTGCAAAATGAACTCATAGCACTTCATAAGGATAAAATTGGCAGCTTGGAGGAGGGATTCAGTTGATGGGGAGTTGATGCTGTAATTTTGAGTTATGCTGGGTACATTCAATAAACCTATGAGTGCTGGAGCAGAAAGCCAAGGAGGCAAGGGCCCAGTAAGTATTTGGGATTATGTTTTTACCATCCTGCCTCCAACCCTTTACCATTGTATAATGATTTTGTTCGTGTGAAAATTTCTGATATATTCCAGTTGTGTAAATATGTATGGAAAAATTGACATTAGTTTTACATTGCATATCTGTGTGATCTATGGAAATTGATGTTATATTAGGTTCCAATTTTCAGTAGAACAAAGTGAAATGCTTTTATTGGCATGCTGAAACCCCTGAATGATGGGCATCAGAAGCAGAAGGGGTGTCCAGTTTACCAAGAACAAATAAAGCATTTCACTAGGGCAAGATCAGAACATGAAAGTAACATACATAACTCACTCCTAGGAATGTATTTTGCTCCTTTCGGATTCTTAAATCCAAATAAGGATGGCAATAGCCATTTTGAGAAGAATTTTCAGCTATAACTGAGGACAATCACCTGAGCTTTAAGTAGGAGATACATTTTGGCTGCATCTGACCTCATTGAAGATAATTCTTGGGGGTGGGGGTGAGGGACAGTTTGAGTCTATGCGTGTATGTCTGTCATATGGGTTTTGATCTTTTTGTTTGTTTTACAAGTGGTATCCACAAAATATTTTCTGCTTATAAATGTTACTGTAGAAATCTTTATTCTGTATAGGTAGCCTATTTAATTAGAGGTTCTGCTTAACCTGTAGAACTTTTAAAGGGGGGGCTATTGTAAGGATTCACTTTGTATTATTACTTGGCTTTAGATTTTAAGTGACTTGATTTTAAAGGAGAAATTCTATTTATTAATGAAAGTGTCACACTCGGTGCTAAGCAGGAGAATTCATGTTGCTAGCAGTGTTTTGAGAATTAGGTTATCCACAATCCTGCATCTTTTAATGTGACTAATTTGTGAATCCTTATGTGACCTTTGCTTTTTAATGCATTATATGATTGCATTTGGAAGCTTTTACTATTCTTTTCAGAAATACAGCTGCTTTGCTCGGGTCTCCTTGAGCCATGTTTATAGTTGGTCCAAGCATTCCAGATTTCTGTTAAATCATTAAGGAAGTGAAAACAGTTTTCCTGGCAGATGAATCATTTTTCACTTGTTTACTGTCATCTGGAAACCATTTAATTTTTAGTGTTTGTGTGTGTGTGTGTGTGTGTGTATCTTTTTTTTTTTTTCTTTTTAAATGAGTGCTTGATCAGTCCTTCTGGTGCCTATAGGTTTAGACTTTAGCTCTCAATACTAAAGCATAAGAGATCAGAGTTATCAGAAGTATGGATTCTGTGGTTGAGTATTTTCAAGAACTAACAAATTTTCTTTAATTACAATAGTTATTGCTGTTGTGCTGCTTCATTTAATGCACTGTGGAACAAACTTAAGGGAATGGTTGGTATGTGATTATGATAACTTAGGCTCTCTTGACAGTATGAGGTTAACATGTTAAATGATGAGTTAAATTTTACGTATATGATGTGACTTAACTATGCAGAAAATATTTAAGTTGGATGTACCTGTTTGTTGTACTTATTCCCTCTCATTGTTCAGGTTACCTTGAGACAGGCCATGCTTAGCACAGGACTAGATTTTCTCCTTTTGGGATACTTAAGTATGATTTGAAGAAATCAGATGATAAAGTAGTATGCTGAATATGCAATAATTTCCTTCTATTGAGTGCTGCATTTTAAGAAGCTAAATGAGAAGAGTAGCTATGTTGGCTTCACTATGTTTCATGTATTTGAAAGATAAATAGGTCTTTGAATTCACTTTTTAAATGTTCCAACCACATGTTCCAGGGTGCAGTGCACTGTGAATCTTTCATTTTTTTAAATGTTGTGGGTGCTTTTATGTGTAACTTCAATGATTTATAGTTCAGATTAATAATGTTAATACATGTTAAATTAATTGTTTTTATACTTAGTCATTGTAATCCAAAAGATAAGGGTATGGTTTACATGTTTTTCACAAGTTTTTATTAAGAAATAGCAAACAAATGGTTTTAGGATTTCAAATAGGCATGCCCTCTGGAGACATGAACATTTGGAGAAGTCTGAGAATCTAATAGTTCTGTTAGCATGGGTGGAATTTGATTAAAATTAAGCTTGTTTGAATTAGTACATAAAGGATAAAGTCTCCCAGTGCTATCAGAGACATTGTAGTAATTGCTTGCTTTTTTGAGCTTTGAATATCATTATTTTTGTAATATGTATCCATTAGTAAATACAGATAATGAAGATATATAGTAGAATTAATTTTATGCTATAAGATTAGGTTGTACTCTTTCTTTTTGAAGGCTTTAATAATTTGTTTGTAATGTCGAAAACTCCATACTAAGTGAATGACATTCATCCACTATAGGAATTAAATTCCTTTCTACTACTCAACATATTGTGTTCTCTAGAAAAGTTAAGATCTGTGTGCATGTGTGCACTAAAATCATTTCATTTCCTATTCCCTCACTTATATAGTCTTTCTTAGGTTTCCTTTTTTTTTTTAACCCCCAACATTTAGTTAACTTAGTAAGTAGAGCAAAATCAATTATAAAAAATTAGACTTATTGCCAAGTTGTTCTTACTATGTTACTTCTATTTACTTTTTATTTTTGTACTGGTGGACCTTTCTGCTCAGAGATTGTTTTGATTAACATTTATTGTGTCTCTGTATTCTCTGAGGCAGTATTTTCTTCGTATATGAATCTTAGCTATTCATTAACACTTCCTCATGATCTTGACTTTTTTCTAGCCTGGGGGAAGGGGTTCATATGTATTGTAACTTTAAATTGATGATAAACAAGATAACCATTGTTTTGTTTGAAGGTATTTTTAACCTTTATGTACCTGTCTTAATGAAACAACAGTTTTGTTAACCTTAGTTGCTCATTTCTTCCGTCCTAAAACTTTAAAGTGCATTTGTATAGTTGCCAAAAATCCTAAAAATGAGCTTAAGATGGGCCTTCTCAGCATCTTTTTTCTTCTTAGAATTGAATTACTCTTAAAATCTATCTGCCTGTCAGAAGGTGGCAGATTGCAAATGGGCAGTACAAGCTTTGTCCTGTGCTTTCAAAGTAGAATTCTGGATTGCACATTCTAAAATTGATGATAGATTAGTATTATAGAACAAAAGTGCCCTGAAAAGAAAAGAGAACTATAGTTGCTGGGCAGAGTGTAAGGAGGACATTGTAGAAGATATATCAATCCTTGAGTACTATATGATGCATCAAGCCTAAGCATAGTCTGATATATATACACACTATATATATATATATATATATATATATGGCCATTGCCAAGCATTTTCTAACCCCGAATAAACTTATTTTTTCCTTAGTATGATTGCCAAGCAATCCAGTGAATCTAAAGGAATTTTTCTCACTTTAAAGACCAGAGTTTGGGAGTCTGGTCCTTTCTGTGCTGTATCATTGCAGAACTCCAGCCACTCTGAAGTGCACTGCTCTCTTATAGGAAAGGGAGGTAACCCAGAGTGCATACAGCTATAGTCAGCTGTATGTGGCAGCTATACATTTGTCCTGAATGCTTATTCATTTCTTATCAACTAGTTTCCTTGTGGCAAATAGCATTTATTATTGAAATAGTCCTTAAGTAGTGAAAATAATGAAGTTAATTCCCTTAAATGGGAGTAAAGTATTGACTTTTACCAGCAGAATTATTCAGACTTTAGCATGAAGTACAAAGAAGTGTACAAAAAACAACTGTGATAAATGTAAACGTTTTGTCTTGAAAAAGTATTCATAATGGAATTTCTCATCTGGGTCCCAGATTAATGAAATCACCAGTCAAGAGATTACATTTACCTTGGGTCTTCTGTAATTAGCAGAGGGGATGATCTGTATATATTAGTAGCTTGAAAGCACAATCTAAAAGAAATTAACCTTCATAAGGTGTCTGCATTATCTGAGTAGTGTTGGTCAAGGGAACTCTGGGGATAGAGATTGAATGCAGAAATGCAAGTGTGTATGATTTTTGTCTCCTCCTCATACTTTAGTCCTTTACGTCAGGAAAACAGTAAGGCCCTGAATATATGTTTGTTGCAGGTAGATGTGTATTTTTCCTTATTGGCTGGTCTGCTGAGTGCCATTTAAAAAAAAAAAAAAATTGTTTCTAATACTTGGTGTGGCTGGCCAGGAAGTCATTGAGGTCCACACACACACACACACACCCACACACCCACACCCACACCCACACCCCCCTTCCCCATTTTTTCCTGGTGACTTTTCCCTTCATCTTTTTCTTTGTGCTATTTCCCTTTTGGCCACTGTGAGAACTTGCAAGTAGTGATTACATTTTGCCTTCTGAAGATGACTTCACTTTGACACTTGGGCCACAAGCAGATAAAAGTCTGTGAACACTTGTGCTCTTTTGAGTCTCAATGCATGTAGTTGACATATTATTGGTTTGAGAGTAGAAAACTGTGGTTCCAAGGTGAAATGGGCAGTATTTGCTGATTCTCAGTCTTCAAGAGGTCCTAGGTAACATTCTTAGGATAGTAGACTTTTTGAGGTAAAGTGTAACATTTTAATTTAATCTACTTCGAATGAATTGAATCTAAGGTTCTAAAACAATCTAACAGCTACAAACTAGTGAAAGACTTGGGGCACAATTCTACATTCTTCATTATTTCTCAAGCTTTAAGAAATTAGCGTATGCTTTTATGATATTTAGGAATAAACTATGGGTGGCAGAAAATGAAAACAAATTAAGGTTCTCTACTGTGAATGAAATTTAGCAATGTAATATCTTTTCCTTAGTAGTTTGGTTGATTAGATGTGTTAATACTTTTGGAACATATGAGTAGCAGTGGACTTGCACTCTTCATGCACTGATAGAAAAGCACAAGACATATCTGCAAGAATTTCTTTGTGCATTTCACTACTGTCCTATGGCACTGCTGTCTCTGTGGTCCATTTTAGGTTTATGTTTGGATGTCGCACAAGTAACTATTAATGTCAAATGCAAGTGTCCAAAGAAATGAGCCTTTAATTTTACTTTTTGTTTGAATTTAGGACAGGAGACGGCTAACCTGACTTATACTTTAAATAGTACCATCTTTCTCTTTAGTAACAATTAGGAAAGGACAATAAAATCACAAACAATTTTGGTTTATATATTTTCTCTCTTAAAATTATTTTTGAAGTTTATTAGCTTAAAATCTTTTTAAAAATCATCTCTGATAGGCATTGACTCATCCTTGTTCTGTGAATGATTCAGATTTAATTTTATCTCTTGGCTTTAATGAAACTTTAAAACAATCATTTCAGAACGATTAATCAGATGGAATAATGTTCATGTATTAGCTAGCTTAAGTGAAATGTCGTAAGACTGTCTTTCATCTAACCAAAATAAGGTGTATGGTTTCATTTGGGTGAGAAAGGGAATGAGAATTGCTTTTTTAAAAAATACATACATACTGTGCCTGTTTCTAAAACAAGATTTGAAGTGGCTTTTTACATTATGCTGTGAAGACTAGGTAATGTTCAAGGAAGATATATAGTCTTAACACATTTTCCTTGAGACTAAGTTTTAGTCTGAAAAAGGGAAAGATATTTATGCTGTGTCATGTTAAGCAAAATATTTGGAACCTACAAAAGCTGGTAGACATGGGGCTGGGGCTCAGAGGGAGAGCGCTCGCCTAGCATGCGTGAGGCACTGGGTTCTATCCTCAGCACCACATAAAGTAAAATAAAGACATGTGTCCACTATAACTAAAAAGTAAATACTTTTTAAAAAGCTGGTAGATAAAAATTTGAAATGGTTTCATTAAAAACATGGTATTCAGTGAGAACTGGACTTTAGGGTAAATGTGCTAACTAAATAGATTTGTAAACTATTTCTTCAGTAATCATTATTGTCATGCAAAATGATCTAACATTTAATTTTCGCTTAAATTATAGCACTGTTGTATTACTTACCTTATAGGACATTTTAATGCTTGGAGAATGACTGTAAGTATATACCCTTCAAGTGATTCTGTCTATAGTAGTGATAAAGTTCTTACTGCTTTTTGATTAATTGTGAAAACATTTAGGGAGAACTAAAAAGGAACCCAAAGTACCAGTGGGGTTTATCTTGGAGTTTAAAGAATTTGAAACATTTAGAGCAGATTTTTTGTTTCTGGATTTATTTTACTCTGAGGTTCAACAATAGCTTTGTTTTTTCCTTCAGTGTTAATGAAAGGAAAAGGACTGAATTTCACTTGTTGGATATAACTGTCATAAATAAAAGATTTCTGAGACTCATGTTTGTGAGTTGGAGTTTATTTGCAGAAGCTTTGTACTTCCAAAGATGTGTTTGTTTTCTGTACCTTCCACTGAGAAAATGAATTGATGACTTAATAGTTATTATGCTCTAATTTTTGAAAGTATTTTGATGTAAATAGCACCAATTTAGAAATTGAAAACCTAACTATAAAAACCAATAATGAAGGTTACTCATATACTGGCTTTCTGTAAAACATTAGGCTATTTGTAAAACAATACCAATAAAATTGACTGTTTGAGCAGTTTTAGTTACTACCTTGTTTCTGCTGTTAATTGTTACTGCAGGTTCTGAGTTTTCATTTGGGACCAATGAAAATTGATGAATATAGGATATATATAAAATAAAGTTATGTTTACATAAGGGGAAGAAATATTAAATGTTCAATGTCTCTGCAAAAATGAAAATGGGAAACTTGTGTTTATTTCTCATTTTAAACCACATTTTTTTACTTTAAAGCAAGATTATAGTGGCAGGCTTGAGATGTGAACCTGCTAATGTACAATTCATCAGTTCTTTAAATATGTGCTAGAACCAGGCTTTGCGATAAAATGATTGTCCTTGGATCCCAGGGGAGAAAGAAATATAGTTGTATGATGTGGACTAGTGTATAATGCTGTTATTATCAAAGGTACTTTGCTCCTATAGTGAAAAATTGATACATGCTATAAAGCTGCTTCCTATCTTGTAGCCATAGTCTTGTATGACTTCCTTGTACTTTTAGTTCTGTGTTATCATCCCTGTACCAGTAATCTTTAAAAGGGAAAAGAGATGATTTTGGCATAAATGGAAAGTCAAGGAAGTGGCTAAATAATAAAATTTGGTGATAAACAACGTTTCTTTGGCTGTTGGTGGTTTGATCTAGCCTTAATCCTAGCCCCTTACTTTGACTAAGTCACTTTATCAAATCTGAGGTGCTTATATTAAATATTCACATGTTTAATAGTTAACAGAAGGACAGTCTTATCCTTTAATTAAAACAAAGTACAGTGTGGAATTAGAAATATTTATTCAGAATATAAGAATGTTTGTAAAATATTATAAATGTCTCTGTATAAATAAATGGAGTTTTTTTTAAACAATTCTATATCAAATAACACAAAGTAGCTGTTTTACAGCAGCTAAAACTAAAGGCATCTGGAAACATTTAAAGCATACAAGTGAAGAATCTAAAAATTACAAGGTATAGTACAGTGTTAAGTAGCAACTTTAAAATGAGACTTTCAGTACAAACAGCAGAACAATACTGACAAATGCAAACTTAGTCACATGTGCTTTAATAACTGGCAGTACATTCAAGCAGGTTTTTCTAATAATTCAAGTGGTATAAAAGCACATTTTCAAATAATAAGAAACTTAAAATCTCATGCAAAGTAAGAGTCTTGACAAGATGTCTACAAACTGATTAGAAATAGGAAAGAAGTGAACATGTTTCATAATCTTTGCATTAGGTTCAAACAAAAGCACATTATTAAGAGTTCTCAATTTACTTGGAGTGCTGACATGAGCACTGTAAGTGAATACTAGGAGTTCTACAAACAGAATATTTTCCCACGTGAATTTGATTAGGAAAAAGTGCAAAAGCAAATGAGAGCAAGAACTATTTAAGCAGGGAATCCATGTGAATGTGATGTAATTCTGCATAAAATTGGTCTGTTCTGCTGAACTCCTATTTCAGATGATTAGCAGATGAAAAGATGGAAAGATGAAGTACTAAATCAAGGATGTACTACTAATCCAACAGCAGTTGCTATTTCTGGGACCAAATGGTTTTTGTCTTGCGCACATGCAAAATCCCACTCAGATGTAATGTGGTGAGAGACTTATAATCTACTATAACTTATCCAAAAACATAATGGTTGTCTGCATGTCAAACACATTTCCTCTATACAGGCATTAGAAGAATAAGAATACACAAACAGCTTCTATTCAATTTTTGTACCTTTTCCACTTGTTTATATTTTTAAACAGCAACTTAGTGCTCAGTGGTGCTGTGGTGATAGCAGCCAGCAATACATTAATTGATAATTCTAGTTCCAATTCTTAGTTCTTGGCAGCCAAGGCATGTTTCTTAGAGTTAACCTCAAGTTTGTGAAATGAGGTACTTTAGAAGGGCTCAGGTTCAGTGCTAATTTCAATTATGGAAAAACTTAAAAGAATTTGTGTAGCAAATGTATTTTTGTTTTGTAACAAGTAATATCTTTGCTACAAACTCTCTAGAGAGAGTTGATAAGCCAAAGGTGGTGATTATATCATTATATGTGAAATGGGATAAACAGGAAAATGGCTGATTTTGCCCCAGTTTTTCTAGTGTTGTATAAAGCTGTCATGTACTGCAAAAAGAAAGAAAACCCAAAAAATATGTTACCGTTCCCTATGGCAACCCTATGGCTGCATTCCTAATTAAGATCAGTACAAAAATTTGAACCATTAGAAAATTCTGTTTGGGTTCTAAAATCTTTGTAATGCTGGCTGCATTTTAAGTAGGTGAAGCTGTAAACTTAGCATGGTTTTTTCACTTAAAATTATTTGTAGAATGAACAGGACATATTCCTAATTAGGATTTGCAAATAATTTAAAGCTTTATATGGGAGAGAGGACACTTTCAGATGTCATTAACAAAAGTTTGGGGGGTTTTTTGTATGCTGTTCTCATCACTTAAAACAAGAGCATCTTACCCAAGCTCTTGAGAGTTTTGAGTTAAGGTGATGACAGAATTAAAAAATAATCACAGCATAAATTTTTGTGGGTCATAGAAAGCATCTTTAGAATTAAACATGCAGCTGTGGAAGTTAATTCATGCCAGTGACATGGCATTCCAGCCCTATCCAGGTGACTATAGGGCTTTTTTTTTTTTTTTTTTTAAATAATACCCATAGGCAGCTAGGAAGTAGAAGACTTTCAGATAAGTTTCAAGTTTTCCTTAGGATGAGGATTGTTTTACCACTCTTAACAGCTTTAAGGAAAAAGCCTTTAGGCTGCAACTTATGTCAAGGCTCTAATTTAGAGTTCTCCGAGATCCCTGTAAAATATTGCTGCAGGCCCAGAGGAAGACTTAGTATAGGTACGTGCATCTGAAAGGAGAATTAAGCACTTATGTTTAACTGGCACTTAATTTTTATTAGCCTAACATTCTACTTTTAGGCAGCATGGAACTAAACTTGACATGCTAGCTGGTACAAGTGAATATGAAACACTAATTACTTCCATTGGCAATGATGAAACATCTAGTGCATATATGGGCCTAACTCATGAGAGACAGGGACAGCATGATAGATACATCTCAACTGTCTCATCACACTGTGTTGAACCATAAATGTCTCAAAAAGGAATCTTTCTTACTGCCTACAAGTACAGGACAGTATTGGCAGCTAATATACCCAGGCTTGGGTAGAATATCAGATCCAGCTGGTAGGCTCACATATGATAAGTTGTGGACTGAGGTCTCACTTCTGAATTCTGCCCTACTGGTTTTATTTGCCTCAGTTTAACAATGGCAAATATATTCCAAGGAAATCGTCAAATGGTTCCTTTTGCTCTATTCCCATTTTGCCAAGCCAGACTGAACTTTGAATAGAGGTAAGTGCCACTGGAGAAAACAAAATATGAAATTCTGAAGGTTAACCTCAAAATCAATATCATTGTTTACCCTAAATGGAGATAGATGTTAATGTAAACCACCTCCTATTTAGAGAAAAATTCAGGTATAGCCAGATAATACAAAAAGGAAAATTACCCAGATGCCTGTTCTCATTTAATCAGTGGTGTTCAGTAGTTCTCACAATCAGCATAACCAAATGCCTGATACTTTACCTTCAACAAAGATTGTCGTAGGGGAGTATTTGAAAAATATACTGAAAGGATATCAATTTATTATCTCTTTATTCTGCATGTCTGTAAAAATTGATAATTTTGCCCGGGAAGTTCACCCAGTCATCCCATATTTAAAAGTATTGTTGAAGCATAAACGTAGGCTAAGTGGGATACTAATGGGGACCATAACAGAAGTGCTTACCCCTTTAGGCCTCTCCTGTGTGGAGGAATTACAGGGCCTAAAGGGGTAAGTTCTCTGATTTTAGCTGGAGGGGGAATGGAGGCAGAGGTCAGTGGGCAGGATGTTATTGCTGGTCCATATGTATTTTTCAGTGTTGAAAGAAAGCCGGGCACATCTCAGTTCACTCAGTGTAGGACATTGCCTAGGCAAGTTGGAAAAATGATAAACTTATTTCATGTATAAAGTGTATTTTTTTTTGCATACACTTTTCAGCCAGAACATTTTCCTCATGACAAAATGTAACTTTGTCCAAAGAATAAAAAAATATATATTTTTTTTAATCAGAGGAGCAAACCTTGACTGAATCAGGGATAGATAGAAACAGTGATCACCCAAAAGCTGATCCAGACTCATACCAGTTGATGGGGGATTTCCCCTCAATGAGCATAGTTGTTACTTTTAGGGTAGAAATTACTGTCCTCCTAGGTAGTGACTTTCCCATTGCAGAGAAAGCCTAAGAACTTGAATCATGTTCCCCAAAAATACACCCACCCGAAGCTCATGGATAAGGAGGATTCTACGGTGGTAACTTGATCATAAAGCACAAAAACTTTAATTTGTAGTTAACTGGCATTGGAGCCCATTTATCACAGAGGTCTTGGTACAGTCTCCAGGGCTGCAGAGGAGGGAAAAAAAAGGCAGTCATCCTTTAATTATTGGTGTGGAACTGAAAAACAGAAGGGGTAAAATAGTGAAGGCTACAGTTGAAAAGGGATGATGAATTTAAGTTGGAGGAATTCCCTGAAAGAATTCTGGTACTTTGAACCTTTTAAGCACCATGTGCTAGTCATCACCATGTATTTTGGGTTGTGGGGGAGGTGGAACCTAACAACCAGTCCTCACCTCATCTCTGTCATGACAGCAGGACTTGTTGAATTGGGGGTTCACTGGCACTCTCTTAGATAGTTTTGCAAAACATTCAGTATCTTCTTGGTGCCTGACAATGCACAGCCTCGGTCTAGAGCTACAAATGTGTTCATGTGGGTGAGTTTTGATTCAGGAGAACAGCAATTGTGTAGTACCCTGCAGCTGGGGGAAGAAGTTCTAATACCACTTCTCTACTCTTGAAGAAACCTGATAAAAATTTTAGTTCTACCTGTGTCCGTGATTCTCAACCCTTACGCCTTAGCTATTAAGAAGGGTCCACTGGGAAGGAAAACCCCAGAATCCTTTCCAGTCCTGCCTCTGTAATTAAAAGGTAAAATGTTTTTTAATTCTTCTAATACAGGCACAGCCTTGGTTTTGCTCTCCAGTGTATCTGAGACTGTGACACCTATGTGGCCTGTTAACTCCTAGTGACACCTCTGTGAGACCTTTAACATGGGACCTGAACACCAAAGCTTTGTTGTGGTAAGCTAATCAGCAATCCTTTTAGATGTTGGAGATGTACAGACTACATCAAGATTTTCCCTGAAGGAGAGAAGGAGAAATCTGGGGTGCCAGAATATAAGCAAGTCCACTGTCTACAAAAAAGAAAAAAAATGACTGGAAAAATCTTATAAAAACAACTGCTTGGGATCTTACTGATGGACAGAAAAGGTGCGGGAGTGAGAAAGTGAGTGCTGAAAGTAGAAGCAAGACCCTGCTGGGCACAGTACACAGAGCCTGTGTTTACACACTGTCCGAAGAGCAGGATCCTGTGGATACAGTCTTCATGTCAGCAAGGCCACTCACCCCAGGGTCTGAGTAGGAGGCGGCACTCCATTGTCCAAGGGCTGATGTAACTGCCAACCTTCCCTTTCTTCCTCCCAGCAGGTTCAATAGCCTGCTAGAGTTTTGCCCCCAGGGGCCAGAATTTGGTGCCTGAGTGCTCATTAAAGTGAAGTTTCATTGGTGTGTGGCCTGGAGTTCTCCTCCTCTAGCAGAGCTATTCTTTGTTTGAGCATCCTCACTTGGGTTTCATGCCTCTCCACCATGGCCATCATCTGAGACTCCAACTTCTTCAGCTTGTTTTGGTGCTTCTTCTTTGCTTTCTCATAGGCAGCTACCAGGTTGCTAAGTAGGAACAGAGGGAAACATGAACATGTGTACTAAGTAGCATGAGACACACTGTCCTGTATGATGGCTAGCCAGGTCTAGTGAGTTCTGATCTTGAGAAAGATCATGCATGCAGCCTGATCTTCAGTAAGACTCTGGAACCAGGTAGTTTTGAGAAGCACAGTGCCAGGGATTTCCACACTAGGGCTCATCATCTACTGGCCTAACCATGACTAATTCAGTCCCACTGCTAACATTAGGAGGGGTTGTGGATAAGAGTCAGCCAACAATGCAGAAAAGGTAGCTGAAATCTGTTACTTAAATACAAATAGTGGGTCTCCTTGTTGTCCTAGCATTTAGGTTTCTGTACAAAGCCCTGCAAGATGCTGCTTTCAGGAAGAGTGGGTGATGACTCCCCACTGTCTATAGTTGCTTCCCAGGAGTTCCAGAGTGGCCATCCCTGGTAAGACATGACCTTGAGGTGGGCTTGGTCTAAGTGTCACAAGGATGTACAGGGGTGTTTTTACCTGTTGGCACGCTTTAAGTCATTAACAAACTCTGCTGACTGCTGATGTCGGATGTTCTCAATATACTTCAAAATAGTGTAAGTTACAGAAGCATCCAGAGGTGATGCAATGAAAGTGACCTCACTTAGGATCAGGGAGAGATGTCAAGCTTTGTGTAGTTGGACTCAGAGCATCCAGTTAGGCCATAAGAAAACTGTGTCCAGCCCAGTACAACATGGGTCTTGGTGAACTGTTTGTGCGCAAGAGTACCATGGATTGGGTCAGGGATTGAAACCCAGTAAGTCTAGATATGCTCGCTATGCTCTCTGGTCCCAATCTGCACCTAAACCCCTTCCATGTACATCTGTATTACCCCTTAAGCTGCTCTTCAGGGGTCTGTGAAGTCTGAACCTTTTACTACACATCTGTATGAAGTCAGATGTTCTCAATATACTTCAAAATATTTTGGCTACATAGAGATTAAATTGGACATAGTTTTGGAAAACTAAAAAGTGTCACTCATAATAAAAATACCATTCGTATTATATCTAATTAATTTTTTTGTAAATGAGTAAAAACTTTCCAACACTTGTCTTAGTTTTAGTTTGATAGAAGTATCAATAAAGATAGTTTACAGGGACACAAGCTCACTGAGGTCCTCTATTTTTTGGGGGGTGAGGGGGCGCAATACGGAGACTGAACCCAGGGGTGCTCTACCATTAAGCTACATCCCAGCCCTTTTTATCTTCATTTTGAGACAGGGTCTGGTTTCAAACTTATGGTCTTGCCTAAGCCTACAGAGTAGCTAGAATTACTGGCACATTTGGCAAGGTCATCAATTTTTTACAAATATAAAGGGGTCCTAAGCCCAAAGTTTTTGAGACTAAGTGTCCAAAGAATATCCCACTGGATATTAAATATTGCTCAAATATACGGTTCCACAGTCAATTCTGTTGGAAAACATTGACTTAAACAGATTTTTAAAAATTATATGACTTCTCAGAACCTTTACTATATGAAATATCCAGAAGAGACTACAGCTGGGCACAGTAGTGCATGCCTGTAATCCTGGGTACCCAGGCGGCTAAGGTAGGAAGATTGCAAGTTTGAGACCAGTCTGGGCAATTTAGTGAGGCCCTATCTCTACAAGTAAGGGATAGGGATGTTGTAGCTCAGTGCTATAGCACCTATTGGTTTAATCCCTAGCACTGGAGGAAAACCAGTATGTTTTATTTTCTACACAAAGGACCTATCTTCACTGAGCATTTAGGTTTCTGTACAAAGCCCTTCAAGGTGCTGCTTTCAGGAAGAGTGGGTGATGACTCCCCACTGTCTATAGTTGCTTCCCAGGAGTTCCAGAGTGGCCATCCCTGGTAAGACATGACCTTGAGGTGGGCTTGGTCTAAGTGTCACAAGGATGTACAGGGGTGTTTTTACCTGTTGGCACGCTTTAAGTCATTAACAAACTCTGCTGACTGCTGATGTCGAATTTCGCTGCTCTTTGTGAGTCTTTCCAAGGCACTCACCAGCTCTTGAACTCTGGCCTTCAACTTCTTTTCTCTGTATCCAGGAGAGAGAGAGCACATGCCATGAATAGCTTGAGATGACAGTGGAGGTGCTGCTCCCTCTGAGGTGTGATGGGAAAGACAGAGACATGTTGCTTGCCAAGTCACAAGGCCAGGGCATGGAGAGTGAAGAGGGTTCAGCAGAGCCAGCATGAATGCCTCATCACTGCATTTTCAAGGGGAATTAGAGCCTGTTTAGTAGGTGCCCATAGAGATCTTAAGTATGTTTCAAAGGAACAAGACAGGAATTTCTACTACTGGCATATCAGGTTCTTGGCCATGAGTGCAGCTTGACCACAAATCCATCTTGGTCTCCACACCCATTTTTTCCAACTGTTCTAAGTAGCTGCAGAACCACTCAGGGATTCAAGATAGAAACCTCTGTCTTACCTGGATTGCCTACCTTAGACAATCTCCCTACTCGAACCAACACATCCTACCTACCTCAAAACCAAAAACCAAAACAAACGGTGCTAGTGGAAAAAGGAATAGAAATTATACTGTTCTCATTTTAAAGATGCCTTTATTTTCCATAAACTGAAGTTCTACTGGACTTCATTTGACTCCCTCGATTCTATGCTGAAGTGGCTTAAAAGTTCCATGGGTTCTGCACAACTGTAGTAAACCGTGCTAGAGGAGTCAGTGAAAGATGGTTTTTAGAGTCCAGTTAGTTTACTGCCTTCCTCTAATTCCCACAGGAATTAGAGGAATTTCCAGGCAGGAAAACAATTACCACCTTCCCTGACATTGAGTGCATAGGGCTGCTCTGGGTCATAACAAAACTCACCACAATCTACTAGGTTAGCTTCGGCACCGAGCACCATGCCTCCACGGCAGCTTCTAGTGATGGTCCAGACTGATTCAGAACTCAAAAAATTATTTGGGAAGCCAGGATTTAGGGAAGGAATTCCTCTAAAAAGCACCATATGTGAGGTGCTTTTCATTCAGCTTGGTTCATTTGTATGCCAATTTGGTAGTCCCTAGCAAACATGTCCTTGACTAAGCAATGTGATTTCTATGATTATCTCACAGAGTAAATATGATTGTAGGCACATAAATTAAAGCTAGATTCACTTAAGCTTTGGTTACAATAATTAACAAAGTGAAACACTTAAGGGATTGGTTAAATTAAGGTACATATATGCTACTGAAATGGGCTGCTTTAAAAAAAATACATGTTAACCAAGTGTGGTGGCGCATGCCTGTAAATCCCAGCAGCTTGGGAGGCTGAGGCAGGAGGATCACGAGTTCAAAGCCAGCCTCAGCAAAAAAACATGGCACTAAGCAACTCAGTAAGACCCTGTCTAAATAAAATACAAAGTAGGGCTGGGGATATGGCTCAGTGATTGAGTGTTCCCGAGTTCAAACCCTGGTACTTTAAAATGCAGGTTGACTATATTATGTGAGAAGAGTAAATTCTATAGAATATTTTGTAAAAACAACTAGAAATCTGAATGAATATTTGCTACATTGTAACAAACTACATTGTATGGAATTTAATAATGGTTAACTCACAAGAATGAAATGCCAGAAGGCTTTCATTTATACTTACTTTTGCACTGCAGTGCTTGAAATTTGTATGCTTTCCCTATAGTATGTGAGTTAATCACAGTCGTGCTTCTTGTAGGAGTGGGATGGAGAGGCAACTGCACAATGAAAGACTCTGAGGAGCCCAGATGGTCCAGACCCTGCTTCTCCCTGGTTTCTCCAGTGTATATAATCTTTCAACATTTCTGGAGCTACTATAAGGGGAAAATCCTCAAACTGATGAGTGAAGGAGAGAAGTGCAACACAAATACCCAGGCCTGCTTTTGTGAGAGGTAGGAGGGGGTTGAGATCTGTAAGGGAAGCTTGCTAGCCAGTTCACAGTGCATGGCTTATTCTTCAATAAGTCCTCTCACCTTCCTTAGCTATTCTGGAAGGCCTAAGGGCTGGTAGGAGCCTTGCTGCTCTGCAGCTGTCCTCTTGAGGAATGTTTTTTTTTTTTTTTTTCCTGGGCCCCAGCAGCCACCAGATCGCCAAATCTGGTTGCATTTCCCACTGGAATCAGAGGGTGGCAGCATTTCCTACCAGAAGTGAGAAAGTATTGCCAGGAGGTTCCCTTTCTCCTTCCCTCCCCAAGGTTTCCTCATAGCTTTCCAAGCAGTCCACCAGCTAAGGCAAGGATAGAGAGTGCCAGGCCCCCACCCTACCCCTGTCCTTCCGTCTGCCTAAAAAAATAGGGTAGAGTTATTCTATATTTTGTCTCTGTTCTGATTCCTTTATCTTCCATTCTACAGTTGATTAACTATACAAAGGAAAAAATCAAATTATGAAGAGAACTAAAAATGTGACCATGAATTCAAATTGAGAACAACAAAATTTTACCCAGAGCAAGCCCATCCCCTAACTTTCCCATTTCTTCCAATGCCCCTGAAGACTTAAGGACATGCAAATTCTAGCCCTACCACAAACAAACGGCTTTTTTCACCCCAGCATTCAGGTCCACCATGGACTGGAACAGAAGGAAATTTCCAGACCTGGAAAGCTCTAAAAGCTAACAGAATCCCAGAAAGGCAGGAGAGGATCTCTGATCCTGCCCAACCCCAGCTGGGGCTACTGCCCAATGTGCTCAGAACAGGATGGCAGAGGGGAGTACAAACCCCAGCAAGAATTATGTCGCTGTTTTAAAGATGCAAAAGAACTAGGCCAAATCCCAAACCTGCGATCAGGGTTGCTTTACCTGTTTTCATTCATTTGGCTGAAGTAGACCCTGCAGTAATAAGAGGCATGACTTCATCACTCACCTAGATCTAAACTGAAGTAGCAACTTCCTAGACTTGCAGATCTAATAGTATGCAATAATACAGCCTCTAGGCTCAAGTGGCTTTCTGAGACCCGATTAGGGGGATGGGGGTTGAACTGAATAAATATATGCCGAAAGTGTAAAATACACACTGGAATTTGAAGCCTCAATGAAATTCCTCACTAATACTTTTTAAAATATTGGTTACATATTGAAATTTTTGTTTTGTTTTTTTATGATACTAGGGATTGTTCCAAGGGCAAGCATTCTACCACTAAGCTTATGACCCCAGCCTGAAATATTTTATATTGGGCTCGATATGCTATTAAATTACAATCAGGAACTTTTTTTTTTAAAGGGGGGAGTGCTGGGTCTTGAGCCCAGGGCCTCACACATGCTAGGCAAGCACTATATCATAGCCCTATTGTTATTATTACTTTGTATTTTGTGGAATCTAAACAATGTAAAATCATCCTGAGTCTCAAATGGAAGTCATACATATATCAGAGGATAGCACTGCTCTAAAGCATTTGTTTAAAGGGATATCATCAAGTCATTTCCCCAGGTTCTGTTTCATTAGGTTTGGGTGAGACGGAAATTGCAGTTCATGAGGTGCTCCAGGTGATCCATGATTAGGCAACTTTGGGAAACTAATACAGTAGAAAGAGGTTCTTCACCTTGATCTGAAGACAAACTCCGTGTGCTCCTGAGACTCCCTGATTTTCATGATACATGCAAAATCGTAGTATGGGCATTCCTTAGTCCTTGAGTAGACAGCTTTCCTCATTCTCAAGTGATATCTTGGGAAATGCTAAAAACCACAGCTTGCCAATTCAAGTCACTTTGAAACCTCAACCATTCATGTCCTGTTTTGGTTTCTAATTTAATTTACTTGGCCTTCAGTTAAGAATTTATGTGGTTTGTATACATAAGATAGTAAGGTTGCCAGGATTGGTAGCAGCAGCAGGGATGACACTCAGCCTCCAGGGTCTGCTGGTGGCAGTGGCCTCAGGAGGTACAGTGGCTGGTGGACAGTGGAGTTGGGGATTGAACGTAGCACTTTGAACATGTTGAGTGTGTGCTCTGAAGCCAAGCTAAGCCCCTAGGCTGGGGCACGTATAAAGAGAAAGTAGCTCACTAACTCAGTTACCTGTTGTAACTGTTTCAGTAGGTGCTAGATACCTGTCCCAATAAAAGAACAACTTTCAACATAGAAATGCAGATGACAAGGCCATAAAATGCCTCTATAAAAGTTCACATCTTCCCAACAAATAAACCCAAAGACACTGAAGTGGAGAAAATGTTGGGTAAATAATTTAAAAATTGTTTGTTAAAATAATCAACAAATTAAAAGCCCTAAAAGAAGAAAATGCAGAATATGAAAGAGCATTTCAATAGTGAGATAGAGAAATCTTGGAGCCTGTAACCCCAGCAGCTTGGGAGGTTGAGGCCAGAGGACTGAGTTGAAAGTCAGCCTTAACAACTTAGTAAGGCCCTAAGCAACTTAGCAAGACCCTGTCTCTAATTAAAATTAAAATATAAAAAAGTCTGGGGGGTGGCTCAGAGGTTAAGTAAAAAAAAATAATAATAATAATCTTGGAAATGCAAAACCCAATTAGCCAAATAAAAAACTTAGTGGGTGTCTCTCAGAAGAAAGAATGTCAAGGCTGGAAGATAAAGTGCAGGAAGTAGAATACTTAGTAATAAAGGTGGGGTGGGGAGAGAAAGAAGAGACTATAAACAGAAAGTACAACATTAAAAAGCTGTGTAACTTGTAGTTGTACTGCTAACAAAGCAGGACAACATTAAAAAGCAAAACTTAAGAATCAGGCCTTGAAGAAGAAGGGGAAATACAAACTAATGGCATATTTTACATATTCAATAAAGTAATAGCAGAAATTTTTCTTAGGAAGGAGATGGACATACAGGTACTGGGAACATTTAGAACTCCAAATAGGACCAGAAAAGAACTCCATGACATATTATAGTTGAAATGCCAAAAATTCAGAACGATTTTAAAAAACTGCAGGAAAAAAGTACCAAATCACTTATAGAGGAAAACATCCGAACAACAGATTTTTTAGTAGAAACTTTAAAGGCTAGGACAGCATAAAATAATGTTATTTCAAGCTGGGCTGGGGGGTGGCACTGCCAACCTAGATTACTACACCCAGCAAAGCCTTCTTTCAGAATTAAAAACAAATAAAAAT